TATTAAAGATACAATTAGTTTTGTACCCTACACCAGTCACACTCATCTTGTAAAAGAGAAAGGCTGAAATATCAATCACTCAACAACAATAAAAACATGGGTCTTATGTGCATATCGCAGCCCTACTGGGAATTTGAAAATCTTTTTAAAAAATCTGGAAGTTATTTTAACAAAACTTCAAAAACGCAGACAGTATAAAATTATTCTTTGCGGTGACTTCAATATAAATCGTCTCACACAATCCAGTAATGAAAATCTATTTAAAGACCTACTAAAATCATAAAATTTACAAAGAACTATAAATACTCCAACACGGATATCCAAAAATAGTTGCACTGCTATAGAATAGATGCAAATAACCATTGTTTTTCTGTTGCTACATTTAATACAGGTTTCAGTGAGTATACTGCACAGATTCTAACACTTCAAACAGAAACAAAAACCGCAAAACAGACAACGTACGAAGAAATATCTCTGTATGTCTGTCTGTCTCTCTCTCTCTCTCTCTCTCTTTGCCAAATTAATGCCTCGTAATTTGTCTGATGATTTATATATATTATATAATTATAATATATAATTATATATAATTAAATATATTATATATATTATATATATTGTAACGTTTCTCCTGTGGTGAAACTCAAGATTTAACAAAAACGTTTATTTTGTTAACAATGCTACACTAAAATACTTGATCTCTTACAGATATTTTACACAGTACTTGTGTTTTCAATTTATTATTTTTCTTACACACGACTCCGTTTTCTTGATTATTTATTACACTGTTCATTCTTCTACACTTATCGCGCAGTCGCTGAGAGAGAGAGAGAGAGAGAGAGAGAGAGAGAGAGAGAGAGAGAAATTAAGAAGGGAGAGAGAAACATTGCACACCCTAATGTCATGACCACGAACCACCATTGAGAACTTCATAATTCAGGCCGGCGTCATTGGCCGAATTTCTTAACAACGTTCCGTGAAGTCACGCAAGTTAAGCAGTTCGAGAAACCGCGGGTTCCTTGGCGGGATATCGTTTCGGAATACAGGTTACGAATGGCACCGAGCCCCTGGCCGAAGGAAAAAGGCAATGACTGCTATGTGACGAGACGACAAAAAATCTTAACGAAGGGTCACTCCAGATGCTCAATGCCCGTAATGTGTTCTACTTAAGATTTTCATGAATTGTTAGACAAAAGAACGTGGTTTCATGGGCAATTGTTACAGGGTTATTATTTATGAACATATGAGGGTATCAGCGCAATAGTGGCCTATCCCCAGATCCTGTGTTTGGAGAAAATGGCTGATGAAGTTATTGGCAAAATTAAACACTCATTTGTAAGTGTTTACATATTATGATATTATGTAAGAATGACCACTGACTGAACATTTGTGGTGGATTACAGCATCGCCTATGCTTAGGCCACTATTGAACAAAGAAATGTAATCGTAAGCTGAGTGCAGTAGTTCTTTTTGTAATTATAACTTGAAAACTATCGACGCGATCATGCTGAAACTGTTACACGTTGAAGTTAGGGAGATTAAGATGTGATTAACACAGAGAACGCAATTTCCTAAAAATGTGGGATAGGCCACTATTTCGCTGTCACCCTCATATATGGTGGAGAGTTTTCTTTGAATTAGTGTAAATGAAATTAAAAGAACCTTTTTTGTTATCTATTAAGAGTTGTTTTCTTGAAATAATTTTATTAGAGTGTGCAACGTAGTGTGATCTTTCTCCAAATATTATTGTTTTAGTTTTATGATTGTCAACTACAATACTATTTTGTTAATTTATAATGCCAAAGGAATGCCGTTTGGAATATAAAGGGCAGTATTTGTTCAAGGATGGATCCTTGTGGAACTCCGCAATTTAGTGAGGATGGAGTAGTGTAATTACATTTTCTTTTCTTTAATGTGCTGAATAACTACCTACTCACTGTTATTTGATAAATTAACCACCCACTTAGTTTTGTAAAAATATATGCTCAACAACAAAATATTTTTGAAAATGTTAAAATTAATCCAGAAGGAATTTCTATCTGATCTACTGCAACCAATGCTTCTGAATTATTGATTTAGCATTTGGTTGAAGGTCAGGAATAAATCCAGATAGTATTTCATAGAGCAGACATATTTCAGTTTGGAATTCACACATAGATATATTTGATGATGATGAAATTAATAATATTCCTTTAGATATGATGTAATCAATATATGGTAACTATATGGTATGGTATCAATATAAGGTACGAAATTTGTATTGAGCTTCATTTGGTACATTTTTTATCAAAAAAATATATTTTAATAATAAGAAAAAATTAAAAATAAGAAGGGTAATTTTAAAAAAGATTAATATTGCCCATGTATAGTTTTTTTAATCTGTATTTCATAAACATGGTTTGTTTTACAAGCAATGTCTTTAGAATATGCATTATTGTAACCCAAAAACAAATTATTTCATGCTTTGTTTTTCTTGAATTGAATTGAATTAATGCCTTATTTTATGTGGCAAGACTAAGATTTCTCTAATATTTAATGAAAATTTTCAGTAGGTCTCCTTACAAGACCTGCAAACTGTTCTACAAAACTGCAAAGAACAACAACTTTTTTTGAAACAAGTTTGTCACAATTGCATTATATGATTCCTAGGAATCTTGTTCTTAAAGATTTGTCATCATAAAGAGCTTCATTTTACATATTTAAAACATTTACCAACATTAAAAAGTGATTATGATAGCACATACTGTTCTTGCCATAATAAGTACTTTTTCAGTGAAATAGTGAACACTTTTCTGATGTTACTATCAATTCGTTTTGCTCAATTTTAAAAGATAGGCCTTAATATTCATTTATAATTAATGGTATAAATTATAAGAAAAGTGTGACAATTGCATTTAACAAATTTTTAAAAGGTTACTCAACTGGGAATGACAAAGTGCTCAACCTTCATCTGGGCATCTCAAACCGTTTTTTGACAGGATCAAGAAATTACACAATATAGTAATTGTCCATAGATACTCTGGAGTGCATTGGAATGACAAAAAATTACACTAGATTAAATGAATCTAGGTAGCACTGTCTGTCTTAATCAATTGTATAAAAAGAATACAAAATTCAGAAAGAAATGCAAAACACTAGAAATTATATTTCCATTGACTAGCAAGTGATCCACAGCATTTATTTCATTTTTTAATCACTTTTGACTGTAATGAAGGAGGTGTCTTACACACTCTCACCTTGATTAAATCATGTGAAGGTTAATGCTAAGTAGGATGTTCTGATGAAGATATTTAGAAACAACATTTAACAAAACATATCTGTATAATTTACATAAATCATTATGAGTTATTATATTTTCATTTTCTTATTATGCCATAAGTGTAGATTTTGTGAAGATTAATTTTACTTTCTTGAAAGTATAAATACATGATTTTTGAACTGCCATGTTTGTATTTACACATTTTACACATTTACATATTTACTCCATACATAGAGCAAAGGTTTACATTTAAGAAAAAAAACAACTACAATCTCCAACTACACTGATTTAACGTCTCACAGTTTGTCAGAGAGAAGAGAATTGTGTGAACTTTTTTTGGAAATGTATGTATTTTGATGATTTTACTTCATTGAATTTTTGAACAAGAAAAGAATTCCAATGGGAATGTACTTATGGGATAAGAAATTAAAAGTAAGATTCCGATAAAGAGTGTAATTAGTAATATTGTGTGCTGTAAATTCCATTTGTGTTATCTTTTCCTCTCTTTTATTTGATTTGAATTCTATTATTAAATTCTGATAATAAACTCTCACATATGCAACTACCTGAATATACAAATATAGCTCTTACATATGAAATTTGACAAAATTACTTTTTTTTCAGTAATTTTGTGGACATCTTTCTTCATGAGGCCTAGAGAAGTTTCAAAAACATAAAGTATTTTATTGATGGATTATAAGGAAATTTCCTCTAATCCTATTCAATTGCATAATTTATTACAGTTTAGGCCTACTTTTTGAGAAACAAAATAATTAGAAAATTAGTGTGATCTATCTTTTGTTTTGAATCCAGACAAACTTCTTACATGCAAACGTTGTTTTTAAATAATGTTTAATGTAAATAATGTGAAATAAATCATGAAAATTAAAACACAACATTTAGAAAACTTAATCTTAAAATTTAAAATGTTTTTAAAATCTCACTATCATTTAAATATTCTATAATATTTTCAATATGTAAACTTTGACGATTTTTTTTATATAAAACTTATTTAAGGTACATATTTATGAATAGTCTATAAAATTCCAAAAGCAATTTATTTAATGTATTATTTTATTTTAAAATTTAAAAATATAATTGAAATAATAAAGTTCAAAGTAAGTGATATAACTTAAGGGTTCTCAAACACGAGTTGTGTACCTCCAGGTGTCATCAATAGATTTGTAGGGGGTTCATCAATAACTTCCAAGGGAAAATTTGCTGGTGAATTAGCCATTTATTCATAGATGAGCTAATAGTACTTTCTTCCAATTTATTCTACTTATTCAAAAATTAATTATTTCTTCTAATTGGAAATATAAAAAATCAATACCGAAAAAATTAATAATTTCAAAAGATAGGTCTTACATAAGTTAAATTTCATAATTTGGAGAACTTCTGTAATGGCTAAAGATTAAAAGTAAGTTGTGTATGAGAGCTAACACCTTCATAAAAGTTTGAGAATCTCTGGTAGTATTAAAAAACATGAAATAACGTACTATTCTTGCTCTAAGCATGGTGAAATAACGTGGATATTAGTAGAAAGCATTTGCGCTTTATGAAGCACGTTTGTTTAATTACCACTTTTGAGACTCTGCGCATGCGCTACTCGAACTGCGCACGCGCATAGGCTCAAAAAGTAAAACCAATGCGAAAAGTCGGTAGAAAGATATCGGTACAAAATATCGAAACTTAATGGGCATGTATCGATCATAACGCGTCACGTCACATCGCAATCTTCTGTTTTTCTATTAGGAATTTAGGATCAAGGCTGGTGGCTGGTTCTTACAAGGTAGCAAGATGAGTGACATTGCTATTAAATCAGAAAGCGTCATTAAACTGGAACCTGAGGTAAGTCCTCTTGCTCATGCGTGTGTAGAACTGTATGATAAATCTGCGTGGTGATTTAGTTTTATTGAAACTAGTTATTTGAAATAAGCGTCCAATATTTGTACCAAAACTCTAATGGTGTAAATTTCGGTGTGCACAAAATGGGCGATGGTTGTAATTGTAATGTGATAGGGTCGTGTAATTTTTCAATGTCACAGTTTTATGGTGAATACATATGTTTGAATGATGACATCGAATGAATCTTAAGTTATATGTTGAAATGAATTATAGTAGGTACATATTCTTAATCTTTTTATTGAATTTGTACGTTAAATGCATTTAACTGGAATGACAGAAGGGGAAATTGCTGCGGATTAATATTATTAGTTTTATTGCTGAAGAATAAATTACAGCCTTAAGGAAGTGCAACTAGGGTAAATGTTAGTGACGAATATGTGATTAATTAAAGAAGTGTCAATAACATCGTGGGAACTTTATCATTGCCGTAAGTAATATTTCATTTGTTTGCATATTTCAGTACTTTCATTTGTTGGCATTAACATGTGAGGTTATACTTGTTGAAAATGGATGTAACACCTGTTTTTGTTGTAGGAGAGCAAACGGAGATATTTCTGAAACTACAGATTTTGGGAAGAAACTTGGTGACAGTTGGAATGAGAATGGAAAAAGATGCATAGTTCTTTACATCTGTATACAACAAATTTACAAAACCTGCCTTTTAAATAAAAACAAGTTAAAAATGTGGTTTGGTGGACCACGATTCAGAATTATGTAACACATGTCCATATATAGCTTTTCACATTAGTAGGTTGGAGCATCAGAGTTAATATTCATTATCCCTTTTTCAATTCTGAAATATTGTCCACACAATTGAAAGAGTTGGGTACAATTTCAAAGTATTTTAAATTTAGTATGTTGTTGACGAGGACTGAAAGAATTGAGCCAGATGTCACAGGTTGCATATCAACATTCAGTATGCACTTTCTGTGGATCCTTCTTCAATGTAGTTTTAGGGATTTTATTTTTTGAACATTGAAAACTGTGAACTATGTCATGGATGGAGGGGAAGTAAAGAAATATTGAACTATTTACTGATGAAATTTACTTGATTAAAATTAGTGTAAGAGATCATTGATTAAGACCTTTTGAAATGATTTCATTATCTTTATTTGCAAGTGTACTGCATGTAGTTTTGATGCTGTGCTTAACGTACATGTAACGTGTATGTTGTATAATATTTAGTAGGAACTTTCATCACGAAGTAAATTAGTTCATAAGAAAAGTGACCTGCCTCAGAAATGATCATTTTGGAGTTAAAGAAATCTGTTTAGAAGTCCATTTTTACATTTAAAAAATCCATATAGTTTGAAAGACGTCTAGTGTGTAGGGTAACACGTCTGCTTGGATTAAAACTATTCTCCTGTAAAGGACATTTTTATGTGCCACTTGTCTTATTCACTGACAGTATGTGGCTGCACATATTCTTGAATTTATTTTCCACTTAAAAATTTTCTTAAGGGAAAAGGGAAGAATTTTACCTTTTTATACCTACAATAAGAGATAATTCCTTTCCAATAAGAAATGTGTGTTTGCCATGCCTCTTTTAAAAATGTTTCAGTGATGGAAGCAGACTAGGAAGAGATCTGTTCATAATATTCCTGCTACATTGAAATCATACTGTGTTAATAATAGGTTCAATAGCAAAGGACTCGTGACATTGTTCGGAGAGAAATTAAGATGGAAATGTCGGTGGTAGATCACCATCTTAAAATGTTTCAACTAAAGTGATGAAATGTTGCATAATATAACTAATATTATATTGCAAGTTAAATTATTTTTATTTACTTAATTTCATTTTTGCTGTTATTTTTAAGAAATTTTAGAACATGAAAATTTTAATTAACTTTAAAGTTTTAACTTTATAATGAGACAATGAGATAATTTGATCTAAAATATTCCAAAAAGAATGTTGTCAGTACCTAAATTTTAAAGAGAGATTAAAAGCATTTGGATAAGTAGATGCTTTCAGAGACTACTTTTAATCTACCATTAATTAGTTTCTTTAATTGAAAATGAATTTTATCTCTTAAAATGAACATTTTTGTAGCAATTTCTTGGGCAGGTCTTTGTAAAAGTAGAGCTATTTATTCTGAAACTGTTTGTAAAATAGTTCTAAAAAAACTGAATTTAAGACAATCTCAAGATATAATTGATCATGTATATAAACATTTTTGCATTATTTACAGTGTTGACTTGTTTATGTGTAAACAATTTTTTTTATAATAATAAACCAATCTACAAAAGAATAAAAGTAATTTATTACCTTTCTTTGCTGTATTCCCTATGTACTATCCTTTTAATTTATTTTTTATGATTTCTTAAATTTATTGGTGGTTTAATGTTTTTTATGATTTTATTGTTGGAACTTGAATTGTTAAAATTTATTGAAGAAAAAGATTGCATAAATGGAAAAAGAACCATTTCATAATTGATTCTCACTTGTTTGTCTTTTCCGTATCTACGCTATCAACATTGAATTAAGTACTCAGATAAGCTTTCAAATTATTTAAGGTGGCAGAAGAATTCGGGATGAAAACACATCCAGCAAAGGCAATATCTATAATAATAATATCAGAAAATAAAACTTGATAGATAATTAAGTTATTAGGGAAGTAACATGAGTATAAAACAAATTGGCCTTGAGAAATGTAGATTTTTAATTGAAACTTAACATAAAACAAAATTCATGGCTGTATAAAAAAATAACAGCAGAAGAATAAATTAAATTACCCAATATGGAAACCACCATATCACATGGCAATGGACTGACAAATAGTAGAAATAACCCAAATATGATACATCAAAGAACAATGTTAATGTAACTAGAAGAGAAGCAGGCCATAGCAGCTAACAAGAAAGGAGGATGTATGGAAGAAAAAAAATAATGATTTGGTTGAAATCATGTCTGATCATAAAATACAAATTGTAAAATCAAATTACAAGAAGGAAAGCAGACAAATACATGAAACAGATATTGACATTAGAACTTATGAACAGAACAAGAATGGAAATCCAAAACTACCGTAATTGGTAATGCCTCATTGATTAAGGAGAGACTGAGGTGAAAGGAGCATGACATGCAGACCTAATTGTTTGATGATGATTTTTGAAAAGAAAAATCAGAAACTGTGAATATTAATGTGACTAACCATCTCTAACGTTCAGCATTAATTATATATGAGAGAATTCTAGCAGGCTAAAAGGAATAGGGACCTTTTCCAAAATTCAACCTGGATTCTGGCTAATTGGATACATAAGAAATGGATTTTGGCCCACTGACAAATCTTGGAGAAAAGAACCCCTATGATTGCGCTCTAGATCTAAAGAAAGTGACTTGAACAGTGATGTTTCTGACTGAAAGAACTTGGCAGTGTATATTTCAGAAAATTTGAAACAATTCATAAAACAAAAAGAAAACTGAATCATGTGTAAATAAATCCATAATGTAACAACAGAAGGAATAAATTTCAACTATTAGTGTAATAGTTGAAATGACAAAAAAGGAAATAAAAATGTTAGGAGTGTTAACCTAGATTTTAAGATTATAGATATAACTTTTTTATACACGAATTTAATTTTACTAGCCCATCATAAAAAAAAGCATAAAAAGGAGAGTTAAAGCCTGAGAAAATCATCTGAAATTTGATTCTTGAAATTGAAAATTAAAATTTGTTGAAACTAATATTTACAAAAGATCCACAACAGTTGAACGTAACATTAAAAATATGATAAAAAAACTGAAAATTAAGGGCTTCAATTCTCAGAGTAATTGAATGAATAATGCAAATTAGAATGGGAAATAAGTAATGCAATCAATAAAGTTATTAAATCGAACACAACTTTCAATGACAAGATTTTTTTGTTTTTACCAAGAAGTTTCTTAATAAGCCCATCACCCATATCTTCTTTGCATTTGTCTCACTGCTAAATGTAGTCCATCAATTTACATAGATTCTACTTTGAGATAAACAAAATTGTATCATCATAAACCCAACTGCACCGGTCGGTACTTCTACCAATACTTGTAACCATGAGTCATGTGTCTCTAAATAGTGTGTGGAAACAAATACAAATATTAGTGAAAGTGGGACCCATAACTAATTTAAACCTGATGAAAATACAGAAATTAGAGAATGATTCATGTTAATGGTGTAAATAATAAAATCAGCCGGGATGGGTTAGTTATGTTGAAACAATGACAAAGAGAAATGGGAAAGATTTGTGGGTAAGAAAATATCGCAGAACAACAAATTTAAGATCAATATTTTTCACAAAACATGTTTGTAAATGTTCTAAAGTACTGTTGAAAGGAAAAAAAGGAAAGGCTGGAGGTCATTCATTCAAATTTCAACACTCATGGTGTAAGAGGGCTAGTATAATGATGATGGTGATGATGATAATAACAACATAATAATAATAATTATGGTACTTGTAATGTAGCAGAAATAGTAATGGAAGAACTAGAAAACATAATCAATGTGAAGAATAGGAAGGGAGCATGAATAGATGGTATAATATCAGAAGTGATAAAATATGCAGGACAAGAACAAAAAAATCAATTACTAAAACTCATGAATGAGATAAAAAAAAACATAAAAGAGTACCCCAAGAATGGAGGACTTCAATAGTGTACAAAATCTTAAAGAAAGGAAGCAGGAAAATTTGTAACAACTATAGGAGCAAAAGCATGATACCAAATACATCAAAAATATTGGTGAACTTAGTACGACTAATAAAAGTCAAAAAAGAAAAAATCAAGGAATTGGATTTCACAAGGGAAGAAGTACATTAAATGCTATTTTCACACTCCAACAGATTATAGAAAAAAGGAAAGAGCGTAGATTACCTACATATGTACTGTTCATTGATTACGAAACGGCCTATGACAATGTTAATAGAAGTTATGGGAAATTCTGAAAGAACAAACAGTACCAGAACAT